CCCATCTAAAGAGTCAATGACAGAAAGGATAAAGGTTTACAAGCCAAACATCTTCGTCATTACAAAAATGTGTCCTCCATTATCTTCATCTGCGTCAATGCGACTTTATTTGCTTTGATCGTATATTGTGTAACAGTTTGTAATTAGATGACACGGATTGGCCTTTGACAGCTTTATTTACTACGCCGTATACCTGCGGTTCATGCTACAGCGGCCCCAACATGCAGCATAATGCAGACGGACCCCACCCAAGATGCTGTGCTGCCGACCTTTTAGCAGACAACGAAGCTGAGAGGAATCCATCCCTCTGATGTTTATACCACTTATATTTTGTTATTCAAAACGTGTTTTTAAGACCCTAAACCTCTCCTGAAAGGTTGTTTCATCCGATTATTCATTTAGGATTGCTCCTCATCTCAGTGCCTTTCTTCCCTTATGTCTTGCTTGCCTAGGATGCATCACAAGCTGTGACGGATGGGCTGCCATGTATTTTACACACAAAAAAAATACCCTACTGGCATTTGAATAAAGAAAAATGTGGCGTAGGAGTTAGCATTTGTATTAACCACAGATAAGACTGTAGCCTGCATTAGTCATCTCCACTGATGGACAGTTATTGTTAGGCCTTGGGTTTAGCATATTTGTTTTCAGGGATTTGTTTAGTGTCTTGTATAAATATATTTAGCATTAGTAAGCCATAAGCCATAAGCAATCATTTGGTTTCCCTTAAGTACAGCAGGGTGTGCAGGCTGGCTTTATTATGGTATGTGTGGTGGGGTGGAGGAGGAGGCAGGTGCATGGCAGGGTGGGAGGCAGGCCAGCCCTGCAGCAAGGGGCCGCTGCACACACCGGCCTTTGCAGCAGAAGGCATAGCAGCACTGACAATCTGTAGTCCTCCATGACAAGCCATGTGGGCACTTTGTCAAATACTGTGGGGACCATGGAAAAAGTGACATAAATTGCACATGAAATTTAAAATAGCTTGAAAGGAACTGATGAAATCAAATCAACCCAGATGTATGAAAGACCTAACCATTTATCAGCTGTTTTTGACAGCTATGCAGCAACATCAATAAGGAGAAGATGAGACAGAACAAACACAAGCTTCTTATTATTGTGATCATAAACTGTGAGTTCACCCGGAAATTAATAACTTGACGCAGAAGCCTTTCATCACCCAGATTGCAAGAGGATTCAAGACAGAGCATTCCTGTGTCATGATTCAAATTAATCAGACATTGTTTAACGAGAATATCAAAAAAAGATAATCATAGACCCCATGATAATCAATCGGAGTTATCATATGATGCTAAACGTTTCATTGTGTCTTTATCTGGATATCTGTCAAGCATATTTATCAATTTGATGTTTTTCAGGCTGTCTGTTTCTGTTTTTACAAGTAACATAGAGAGTCTCACCAGAATGCTATGGTGTCTTTTCTTCTCACAGCATATAAAGAGAAGATGAAGGAGCTGTCCGTCCTCTCCCTCATCTGCTCCTGCTTCTACCCAGAGACACGCAAGACACTTGTGTGTGAGTTTGAAGGTACGTATCAGCTCAATAATTTATTATGTTCTGGATCAAAAAGTCTCCCCCCAATGGATGTTTTATCTTTCCTGAAAATACAGATGATTGTAATAATGACATAATGTTGGACTTATAAATTGTCATAATTGTCTTATTTACAGACATGGAGGTGAAAGCTTTGAACAAGCGAGCTTCTGGCCAGGCCTTTGAGGTGATTCTCAAGCCTCTGTCTCCAGTGTCAGATGTGGCTCACAACCTCCCCTCACCCCCAAAGAGGGCTATTTCTTTGGAGGACATTGAGAAGAAACTGGAGGCTGCTGAGGACAGGAGGAAGGTAAGCATTTAACCTGTTTTGAAATAGCTTTAGGTTTTTGAAATGGAAAGATGAAGCACAGATTGGATGTCAAACCAGTCAAAATCAATCAATTGGTCTTGTTTTTGTTTTTAGTATCAGGAGGCCCAGGTGATGAGGGCTTTGGCAGAGAAGCGCGACCATGAGAGGGATGTGTTGCTAAAGGCCATGGAGGAGAACAGCAACTTCAGCAAGATGGCTGAGGAGAAGCTCCAGTATAAGATGGAGCAGATCAAGGAGAACCGTGAGGCCCATTTGGCATGCATGCTCGAGCGTCTACAGGAGAGGGTGAGAAATACAGAGATATCAGTTTTTTTATTTTTATAGTATAATCAGGTTTGGGGCACCATCTGATGACTAATGTTGTACTTTCTGTTGCGGTGTGTTTAGGAGAAACATGCAGCTCTGGTGCGCAAGAACAAAGAGCTGAGGGAAGAGCTGACAGCATGAGCCTCACACAGTCCTGACTTCCTTGATCCATCACGTCCCGTCATCAAACCCCTCCCTCTTCCTTGCCCTGCCCTCTCTCTCCTCAGAAAAGACCCAACTCTGGAGGCTGAGAGGTCTGAAGATCTTACCACCACATCACACCACACCTCACCACCAGTACTCACCACTATCAGTATTATCAATGGATACAAACATCAATAACAACCATCTAGAGAGTTGAATGGAGTTGTTGATTTAACAGAAAATGTGAGATTATGGCTTTTATTTTGTAAATACTTTTCCTTAAAAAGTCTTTCTTTCTTTCTTTCTTTCTTTCTTTCTTTCTTTCTTTCTTTCTTTCTTTCTTTCTATCTATCTGTCTATCTGTCTATCTTTGATGGTAGGTAAAGTAGGCTACATGCAAAGATTGTACTGTACTGCACTGTACAATTTCAAACATTTTGTTTGTGATTGATTAACGTTTCAGTTCTTGAAATTTGACTATACAACCATTTTCTTGTGAAAGCCGTTGGTGTTGTGAGTTGGCTGTAGACTGGCATTTGCAGTGTTTTCTGATGATGTCATGATGATGATGTTTCTGTGTCTTTGTGAAGAATGACGGACGGTGTAGCTACACCACAGGCTCCTTTTGAGATATCAACGTATCCTATCTGTATCTTCCTCACGCACACCCACTCATTCTCAACACGCACGCTTTGAACTTAACAATACGCCACAGATCCATAAAGTGTCCACCTCCTCTGAAATGAGCTTGATAACGAACTAGAGAGGGCCTTTTTTGTTATTAAGAATATCTTTGCCCAATGGGAGTTTACACACTTGCAGACTCCCAGTTACCCTAAAAACAACATTTCTCAATGAATCCATCTTCAGCTAAGTACTTAGCTCTGTTATATACACAGTATTTGGGCACTACGCTCTTGAATGTTTTGACACCAGACTGGTACCATGCAAATTGTCTTGGACAGTGGAATGTGCTGTTGCTCCCACCTTGATATTGATAGTGTGAACATACGAATGTCTGTGTGGGTGTGTATGAATGCTAATTTACCACAATGCACCATTAGCCTCTGCTCTCTTTAGGGGATTAGATGGAGAATGGATGCAGAATGCTTTACATTCAGCACCTGAACTAGTATCTTTTTAATATCAATGCCACTGATATCTGCCTGCATCCTCTGCTGCTTGTGTTTCTCCCTTCATATATTTCTCTGTGAAAGCTTTGCTGAATAAAGGTTTGAGGTTCTGTGAACATGGCATGCACCATCTAATAGTTTTCTGTGCTAAAAGGAGAGGGAAAATGTAAACTGCCAAATAAAGTAACCAGTTATCTACACATCATGAGCATCACCGTCTTCCCTAGTTGATTTTTTATTAATACGTTCGGTATACTGTAGACTCTTTTTGGCATAGTTAAAACATATAGTCCTATTCCTTGAGGGTTATACTTACATTAAACATATAAAATAATTATCAGGTATGCATAAGACAAGTTGTTCCACTAGGTGGCAGTGACACCAAAGACACCAAGCTGAAGCCCATACCAATCGAAAAGTAGGCCAAAAAAACAAATATGCCCAATCCTTATATTGAAGAAATACACCTTTAAAAAAAAAAACACAGATACAAATTCCAGATAATGTGTGTTTGATATTTTATGAAAGTAATGATTTGTAATTTAAATAACACCCTCATCCAGAAGGAGGAGGGTTTGTGTCATTCATCAGCACTCAGAACATCTAATGCAGACACTTTTATACATGTACATGTTTTAAATTGACTTATATTTCAAAGGAAGACTATATACAGTTTTGTAAGAGACCACTCCACATGTTTCTTAAATCTCAATCTCTACATGTATGGCAGCCATTCCATTACAGTGTCTGTTGAATTCCCACACAGAGAAATGTTGTCAGTAGTTTATAGAATAACATTTAATTGAATTTAACTCAAACACATTACTTTAAATAGTAAAACCAGAGAAACTGATAATGCTGCAGTGGTCTTTTCATTTTTTCCAGAGCTGTATATAAATATACATATTTCATAAATAGCGTGTGGCCCAAGCCTTGAGAAACAAATGACAGCCTGCCCCTCCTGGAAGCCCGAGGTATTGCATGGATGCATAAAACTGAGTTACTAATAAACACTAACACCTAAATAAATCAGTGATTCTCAGATTGTCCCAAAAACAACATCAAGCTGGACAGTGATTTATAGCTCCAGCTGTCTGGTGTATTGTTGTTACTTTTTAACCTCTTTCTTACAATGTCCCCATCCTGTTCACACTATTGTCTCCGTTTCAGACCAACCCAGGCTGGTGAGGTCAGGGCAACATTGTAAAGGATTTCCTCTGACTCTTAATGATTTCCTGGGTATTCATAGGGGCAACAATGCTCTCAGATTCGGTTACTTACCTGGCACACAGTAAAGGAATGCCTTTCAGTCAATAACTGGGACCTTATTATCTCATGATTAACTTCCACTGGACTGAAACAAAAATGCACCTGCAGATTATATGTCATTAGGGAAGATAAATTCATAATCACTCGGAAGGCTGTAAATCTGCATATATAAGGAACAAATATCAACCTATTATACATTAGGCAATCAGACTGTAAAGGAGCAAATGCAACATGTTTTCAACTTTTTACACAATTTATTGGTACAAAAATATTACAAATAGATACAAGAAGGCAAGTTTCAAATGTTCAAGTGGTTAGTTTTCCAATAATGGCACATATTAAATGTTTGTTTAACGCCACGAGTTCTCATACCACTAAAGATGAAGACCAAATTAAGTGACATTATGTTACAAACAGACATCCGCCTTGACAAATGTAGAAGGTTCAGTGTGTGGTCTACAAAACACTCTACATCTGTGCTTACAGTAAATCTATTCATGGCCCATATGTCACGTCATGATTTCAGTTCTCAGCCCGTGGACAGTGCATGTTAACAAATTTAGTGAAACATAGACTAACATAAAATCATTTATAATTCCTTTCTTTAGAGTAATGACATACTGAGGACGATCTCTCCAACTTATTCTGTATATTTAATAAAATTAATTCAGCTTGCTTTGTTCCCCTGTGTTTTATTGCTATGAGGCAGGTTGTCCGCCTAGTCTATGGTGGTGGGCACAGCTCAGCTGTTGCCTTCAGTCCAGTTGTTCAGAAGGCCCCAATTTCCGTACCCCACGGCCTGTAGGGCTTTGAGAGGGTGGAGGAGGGGCTCACTGTGCCGAGGGCTGTCGGGGACACCAGGGGGAAAGCACCGAAGGAGAGGGGGAAGGCTGACAGCGAGGAGAGGGATGAAAGGAGTGGGGGCGAAAGCTTGGATGTTGGCACAGACAGACTGAGGGGCAGCGACCCGTTCGGGGGCACCCTGAGGTTCTCTGTGTGGGGCATGACACCCAGTCTGGAAGTCCTAGATGCCTCGCTGGAGGGGGAGGAAGATGTGGAAGAAGAAGAGGAGGAGGGTGGGCTACTTTTGCTTCTGGATGCAGGTGTCCTGCCCAGAGGGTGTTGTAGGAGTAGTGGGTGGTGGAGATGGGCATGGGCAGTCCCGTAAGCTGAGCCCCAGGCTAAGTGTTCCAGTCCAGTGTGCACCTCCCTCTGAGAGGCGTAGTTGCTGAGGTGGGACACCAAACGTACACGCAGGGGGTCTGTCCCGTCCCGGCCTTCGATAATGCTCAGGTAGCGAGCTGTCTCTGCCAGGCACTCCCTGAAGCCAAGAGAGCGGTAATCCTTAGCGAGTGCATGAGCCTCAAAGAAACCTGTCAGGAGAGGATCAGAGGGGTTAGACATGTGATTCATAGCAGACGCATTTTCCATTAGGGAATCATAGCATTCATTTGGACAGCCAAAGAAAGGGTACGTTACCTTTGCCACCAGATGCATGAAGCATCTTTAAATGGTCCACAGTCATTTGTAAAATTTCAGCTTTTTCCAATTTAGCTGATCCCTATAAAAAGATGGAAAAGACATTGTCACTTTTACAATACTGATATTTCCTATGCTGTGTTCATAGAAGAAACATACATTGGCAAATATGAGCCTTCTCATAAGGAAAGAATGCAAGTACCGTTTACCTGTTTCTCAAAAGCACTTGGCACCAATCTTCTCAACTCTGACAGACTGCTATTGATTCTGTCACGTCTTCGTTTCTCAATAATCTGTCAATTGGAAAAAGACACAATGTAATGTAGGTCACAGGTGGCAGGGACACATTGGGATCAGCAGTGCGTAACTTGGCACCAAAAATAATGAGTTCTCGTACCCCTCTGCGCCTTTTTCTAGCTTGAACTTGGGTGGTTGTGGAGGGTGACATCGAGCCGTGAGAATCAAGTTGACTGAAAGGTAAAACAGCAAAAGTTATTATTGTGTTGAAACAAGACATAGCCCAGTTTCTCTGAATTTATCAACAATTCCAAGATAACTAATTCAACTTCACATAAAACCAAATAGAAATATTGCATACGAATCTGCGTTTTTGGCAAAAAAAATAAGTGAACTTACCCATTTTCGTCACCACTATCCTTCTCCACCTCAATATTGTCGTCCAGGTCGCTCTCCGAAGAGCTGTAATTGTGGCTTCGCTTCATTTTGCTTCCAAGTAGACAGAGATCCAAAGTGTTGCTTTCAGGGACAGCTCCGTTGGTGCACTGACAGCAGAGGGTCTCAGCAACAGTTTAAACATCGGACCTGCTCTGATCATTTTCACACCGCGCACAGGGGGGCGGGACCCCAGAGGGATGTAGGCGGTGCATGAAAAGATTTCAGCCTGTTAAAATCGAGCTGGCATTTGAATGACACATGCTTTACCAGAAATATAATTTAGAAAAATCAATGAGAGCTAGATATCAGAATCAGAATCAGAATCAGAAACAGGTTTATTACCAGGTAGGTTAACACACACGAGGAAATTTACTTGGTGTTGTGGTGCATACATAAAATAAAACCCAGATAGAAAACTATTTGAAGAAAACTATAATAACATACAAATATATAGTCAAAAAATAACAGTATTTACATTGAATATGGTTGTAATCCTAGAAATATAATTGAATAAAATATGTGCAGTAATAAAAAATCAAAGATATTGTATACATTGTGTGCATTAATGTAATGCATAGGGTCTATGATGTGGCTGAGGTACAGTGTCAGTGGGGGGGCAAATGAATATTTAAAGTTTAATAATAAAAGCAGGATTTTTGTATAGAGAGTATGAGTCTGAGGCCTAGCAGCCTCCCGGCCCCCCCAGGTCCCCAGCCTCCCTGCTGAGACCCCAGTTCATGAGCAACAGGCCCCATTATAGCAGGAGCCCTCTTCTTCATTGGTGTTGTGGAGGACACACGGCCTATTAGCAGAGTGTGTTGTTCATTGTCTGCTGTCAGCTGTGTGGTTCCACAACAGCATTGATCAGCCGGGAGGCCCAACATTAGTCAGTCGGCGTTGCCAGGCTCTCCTAGGAAACCCCCTCACCCAGTCACTGCAAACAGGTCAACTGACTGGCGCAGACAGACCTTCCCAGGGAAGCATTCATCCGCCGTGGGTGAAAACAGGGGGAAAAAAAGACTTTTTTTTTAGAAAAAACATGCAACTTTTAATCAACTTTTTGTGAGCTCTGTTTAACCCTTGTGTGGTGTTCATATTTTTGTTACTCAGCCAGTGTTCTTGGGTCTGGTGGACCCGCTGCCTTTTTGGGCTTCAATTCAACACAATCAAACTATTTTATGTTAAAATACTCAACAGATGTTTACTTCATCTCAATTACAAGCAATATAAACAGCATACATGGTTAATATTTGTCCTTTTACATTTGTTAGATCGCATTAATTAATTAAAGTGCTACTTGTTTTTTTGCCCACTGATTTTTTTTGTAACTAGATCAATCTCATCCTCTTCTTCAAAGTCACTGTCAGACTCAGAATTCTCAGAAATGTGATCCTCACATTCTGAAACCTCTTCCTCTTCCTCTACATAGTCATCAAATGGTTCTCTCTCTTCTAGAATCATTTGCAAGGCCCTCTGAGCAGAGAATCGTTTGGCCATCTAGATCAGTTGTGATAAGGACCCAAACTGGCGAAGCTTTATTTATTGTGTCTTGCCCCAAATTTGCAGCTTGGATAGAGTGTGAAAAAAATAAAGATTGGTTCACGCAAAACATAATGCGGGAATGTGAGAGAAGACAGGTGTCGATGCTTGAATTTATCAACAATGTTGCAACCTTGTGCAGGAATGGCAGGGGCAGAAACACAAAAGTCTCACACATACACACGCATGCACGCACGCCCGCACGCACGCACAGAAGGCCCAGACAGGTGCACAGGACCTACAATTTCCACACTTTTGCTAGCCCCGGGTAACACCCTGTATGTAATGCAAATGTGTAGGGGGGGGGGTACAGTGGGTGGTCATTGAAAATGTGATCTGATATATGTTCTTCACAGAAAATGAGCCAAGGCCATTGAGTGTGGGTTTGAAAAAATAATTTATCATATCATTTTTCTTTAGCTAAATAGTGAAACGGGTCCCACAGACCCGAATACCATACAAGGGTTAAAAAAAAAATACAAACCTACTTAGGCATAAACGGCAAAGCATAAGTGCTTCAATCTAAACGGGGTGGTCTGCAGAAGGTGTGAATATTTTGACCTCACTAATATGCTCAGGTCAGAGGACAAACTCTACAAAACACGGGTTTTCAATGTTTATGTTCTACTGTGTAACTGATCCCTTCTTGCTGTTTGTTTACTAGTGTCTGTCAAGGAGAAAGAGACATGGGTTACTGATATGTCTGCCTATATGTACATATATTTATAAAAGCAGATAAATGTTGAATGATCTAAAAAAAACACACACTTTTACATATGCTTTAATGAGTTAATACTAAGTTAATATTATGTTGTATATGTAACCATCATACATTGGTGGAAAGTACCCTTTTTACATTTACTCAAGTACTGGAATTCAGTACTATTTCACAACACAAAAGTACTTTTTACATTATGATGCAAAATATAATGGTCAAATTCTACAATGATAACATTCCCAGAGGCCATTCGGGATTATGGCTATGTGGCTATGTGGCTATTATGGACCTTTTGTTACTAACACTTATGTACCTTTCACCAAGAAATAAGTTTAACGCAGGACATTTACTTGTAATGTTTTATAGTGAGGTATCGCTTCTTTAACTTAACACTGCCATCATATGAGTAGACATAAAATACCTAATAAAAACAGCAGTCAAATGTCAAGCCTGGGAAACGACAGCGCTTGCGGCTGGTATAATTCCTGCTTCCTGAGTCTGACGTGTCTGTTAAGGCCATCAGTGGGAGTGTGACCCCCCCCGCTCCCCTCCGTTCCAGTACCTTGTAGCAGCTGTTTCTCTGCTCTGTCCATCAGGTCAGTTGTTAACTCGGTGCGTTGGTGAGCTAGACAAGTGTGGATGAGAGCTTGATTCCAGGGAGCAACTGCAGGCCAACACGCTGTTCCCAGAATGTCAAAGGGCTTTTTGGTGGTGACAGACACAATGTGCAAGCTTCAGTCATTTAGAGTGTGGATGAGCTTTCACACTATCCCTGACACTCCCCCTCCCTCCCTGTCAGCACACACTTTCGCTTAAAATCATGCGTACCTTCACCCATTTCAAGCATTTCTCTGTGCCATACTCCCGCATGGTCGATTTATCGACCTTAACATGTGCATAATCCCGCGCTGAAAACCTCCTGAGGCCTGTACACTCCCTATCTGGGGGGTGTTTCTCATGTTGGCATTTATATCGTTTTTACAAAGATTGGGTATATGTGGGGACAGATTCCTATACAGAACCTTAGCCAATTTAAGTGTTGGCCCTCTCCTTGCACTGCTCCCCAGACTCAACCATACATGGCCTTCCTATGACTCTCAGCCGATAGGAAGCTTGATTATATTTGGGATCACATCAGTATTGTTTATAATGCTATTATGGTAAAGGGAAAGGGCTCTATAGGACAGGCAGGTTCATGTGGTTTCCATTAAGCAGACACAAAACACTCTCCTCACACCTGACTGCCAAGGCCCTTCACATTAGCCTTGACATTCCTGTGAACCATTACACACAATTATGTTTTTTTTCCACAAAAACCTTGACTTTTTGAATGAGGTACCACAACATTTTCTCAGCCTCGGCACTCTAGTTGACTTATGGATGAGAAATAAGTGTGTTTGGTTTGAGTTATTTTACCTGTGCGCCATGTTCTTCTAAATTGTCTACGTATTTAACTTGAACATGCCATTCTGCCGTTGACCGTGGGCCTACCTTGGCACCAGTTTGAAGAAACCACTCTCAAACCAGTGCCAGGAAGCTAAGAGGTATAAGCAAGCATTTGTTTGAAACTGGCGTGTGCCCAGCTGCCTTCCTCAATCTTCCCTCAGGTTTCCCTTGGTGACTCTTTGTGTGCAAGAGTGCGGCCTGAGTGTGTGCTGGTGTGTCTGCATGTGTTTATGTGTGTGTGACCGAGAGTGTGCGAGGTGCTGTTTCCCACAGCCCTGATCTAATTCCGTGGTAACTCAATCTCCGTGTGAGCGCTTCCCGGCGAGTGTTCTCCCACCCGTCGACAGTCTCTCTCTGGCTGGCTGAGTGGCTGAGTGTGTCTGACAGAGGCCGGCTCAGTCCCATTGGACTCCCCCCCCTCCCCCCTCCCCCCCTCCGCCTCCGTCCTACCCACCCTCCCATCAGGATTGATTTACTATGTCAACCGTTGGGGCTGTCGGCAGCAGCGACGCTCGCAGCCGTGCCTGCATCCTGTGTGCACACCATCCTGACATCTTATACCTGTCATTCAACAACTGCTGCAGTGGAGTTTGCATTTGTGTGTGTGTGTATGTGTGAGGATCAGGGGGATATTTCTGTGTGTGGGAAATCCATAGGCTCTAGTTGAGATCATGCCTTCTCTATGCTATACATTCAAATGGACTGAAATTTGGAATACACTTTGCTGCATATATACCTGAAGTATATGACATAATATGAAAAAGAAAATGCCACCCATGCTGGTCGTAAATAGCTTGTCTGACTGAGGGAAATGTCTCCGAGACAACTTCCATGCAACAATGTTATCCTATGGACCACAGCTTCCTGTCTGTCCCCTCTGGTTCCAGTCAGCACCCAGGCGCTATATTGGGCAGGGACCAGACCAGGCCTGAGACCCATTCCCACTGTTTGATTGTAATACACCCGCCTTCTCATTCTTTACTTTCCTGCCTTTGTTGGCATCCATTCTCCCTGTGCTTTTGGATAGGTAAAGCCAGGGAGGATATGTTGACTTCCTTGTTTCTTTGTTTAGCAAGAGCTTTACAAATCTTTTCTACTGAGGACAGCTCCCCAGGTCACAATACTGACACCAAGATCTCAGCACCGGCTGACAATTACAGGGCTTAGAGTCAATTACAGGACATGGGGAGGAATTAGAAAAGACTCAAACCAAACTTTTAAATCTAATATAGAAAACCTTAAATGCTGGCTTGAAATAAATGTGGATTTCCTGAGTCACTCCTGCATAAACAAACATCGATTTCATGAGTTTTTCCACAATGGCACACACTCCTTCACAATGGCCCCTGACAATTATATTGTTCATAGGTTTTACCAGCATGTTGCCCATTACTAGGTAACTTATGCAAG